GATGCTGAAATGCCCGGGGCTGCCCTTGGTGACGGGGAGGCCCAGCGGGCAGCATAGGCCAGGTTGCGAACAGATGCCCTAGGAACCTCTTCCTGGCAACTGGCTGAAGGGGCAGGACGGAGTCGGCCTGGGATGGCGAGGAAGGGGGGAGGGAGAAAGGGGGGCGCGGGGAGGAGGAAGGGGGGCAGGTAAGAGGGAAAGAGGCTGGCAGGGACATTTAGGAGGATACAAGCCTCAGCTGGGGCTTCTCAGGTGGCTCAGAGGTGAAGAATCCGCCTGCAGAGCAGGAGCCGTGGGTTTGATCCCTGGGTCAGGAAGCTCCCTGGAGAAGGGAATGGCAGCCCACTCTAGTACTCTGGCCTGGAGAATCCCATGGACAGAGGAGCCTGGTGGGCTACGGTCCATGGGGTCACAGAGTCAGACACAACTGAGCGTCTGAGAACACACATCTTTGTTGTTCAGTCTCATTCACGTCCTACTCTCTGCGACCCCATGGACTGCAGCACGCCAGGCTTCCTTGTCCTTCACCATCTCCTGGAGCTTGCTCAAACTCATGTCCATTGAGTCAGTGATGTCATCCAACCATCTCATCCTCCGTCATCCCCTTCTGCTCCCACCTTCAATCTTTCCCAGTATCAGGGGTCTTTCCAGTGAGTCAGCTCTATGAATCAGAGGGCCAAAGTACTAAAGCTTCAGCTTCAGCATCAGTCCTTCCAATGAATATTCAGGACTGATTTCCTTTCGGAGGGACTGGTTGGATCTCCACAGTCTAAGGGACTCTCAAGAATCTTCTCCAGCACCACAGTTTAAACGTGTCAGTTCTTTGGTGCTCAGCCTTCCTTACGGTCCACGTCTTACATCCATACACGACTACTGGGAAAACCATAGCTTTGACTGTATGCATATCTTAGTAGAAGGGCTAAAAATCTTAAATTTTAAAATGTTTTGAGTAGTCAAGGGGAGTGCCAACCACTAAGAAATGTGGACAAGCAACATGAGAAGACTTTCACTGAGAATGCAAACACAGGTAAATTGCTTTCAATCCCAGGGACAGATGTTCCCAGTCACTTGTGTTAAGAGAAAAGCAATCTGTGGGGTGGGAACTAGACGAAATCTGGCAAAACCTCACAGGGAGTCACCCTCCAGCTCTCAGAAGCTCCTCTAGAAATCACACCCAGGGTTTATCTGCACAGCCACAAGCAGCATCAGGGAAAGAAGGCAAGTCACCAGGTACAGTGGGCTGAACGGGGGGCCTCCAGGGGACCGAGTCTGCATCTAACACTCGGACCTGTGAATGGAAACTTACTTGAAGAAGGGTCTTTGAAGATGTGACTGAGGAGTTTTGGATGAGAAACCTGTCCTGGATTACCTGGTGGGCCCTGAATCCAATGACAGGTGTCCTTCTAAGAGGGAGGTTAGACAGACACGGGAAAAGAGGGACAGAGAGGAGGAGGTCATGTGACGACAGTGGCAGAGGATGGAGTGGTGGGCCCCAGAGGCTGGGAGAGGCAGGAAGGACCCCCAACCCCCGTCTGGAACCTTGGAGGGAGCGCAGCGCTGCTGCCACCTTATGTCAGACTCTAGCCCCAGAGCTGGGAGGGAGCACATTTCCAGGGTCTGAAGCCCCTTAGCCTGTGGTGGTTTGCTACAGAGTCGAGGAAAACGAACGCAGGGAGCCCACTGGGGAGAAGGTGACTGTAAACTGCAGCAGCCACATGGTGAAGAGGGGTCAGAGGACCCCCCATCTGCGGGCAGGAGAGGGAGCACCTATCCCGGGATGCAGGGTGCTATGAGGTCAAAGGCATGGGGCGAGGATGCTGCCCGTGTAGCCGGTAGTCTTCTGGGTCAGGGAGAAGATGAAATAAGGTCAACCTACCTCTTCTTTGGTAAAATGGGAACAGAGGAAGGGTCCGCAGGAACCGGTGGCCACTCAGCAGAGGACTGGGGGTGGGGTGGGGATGTGGGGGACCCTGGGCAGAGTGCCAGCTGACGTTGCAGTAAGACACGCACCACATGGCAAAACCATGGTCCCATCTCAAAGGAAATAAGAGGCAACCTTAAGACAGGAACAAATGTAGATCAAACAGATGTCAGCCCAGGGGAAACATCGGCCGATTCAATCAGCCTTTAAGTGTAGCACTCTATAGCTTTAGAGGCATATATTCTAAGGCCAACATAACAGGTTTCCAGGAAGTGTTTAATGACTGTTTATCGTGTGATCTGAGGTGTATCATATAGAAAAGAGACCAAAAGATCCGCGGTAGACTGTTAAGGTTTCTCTCCCCCTGGTGATGGCCATGTGTCTTCATTTGTAAAGCTTCTAGTACTGGTTCTGTAATAAAACTTCTGGCTCTGGTATAATTCTGGTATTATTTCCAATAAGAAATGCTTTTTTTTTTCTAATATACAGAATAAATAAAACCAACTGCTTTGTTCTTTGTCAAGGAAAATAAGGCAGAGAAGGAATCTAGACTAAGATTAATAACTCTCCTCATAGGAAAAGCCAGGACAACGAAAAGAGAAGCATAGTCAGAACTAAAATTGAAGAACATTTTCTTCTCTTGAGAAAGGAAACTTTAAATGCTTGGAATATTCCAGGCAGGGGTAGTGTTTGCAGTTCAATTATTATTATTACTTTAATTATGGAGATGCAGCAGATGTTACTATTTCAAGGAAACACATTTGTTCCAGCATCATGAACCCCATAACCCATTGTGTATGGAGAAAGTCAACAGTGGTCTGTCCTTGGGGTGTGGGTGTTCCCCACTCACACGTTCCAGATTGCCAGGCTCTCCCTAGGCCTCTCTTGTGTGGCCATGAGCCTTGGCCATCTGGAGGCCTGGCCTCTCTAGGACTGACCACGTCCGCTGCTGAACCTGACCCCATGGAGGAATGAGAGCTGACGGTGAGAGCTCAGAAGAGGTTTGTGGAAGTAGCTGGGAAAACAGAGTGACATGGAGCCTCTTTCTGTCTGGAGGGAAGAGGGATGAAGTCCTGCTGGGCACTGGCAGCCTTGCTGTGACCATGAGGGCTTCCAGCCTAGGATGACACTGATGCTCCATGTCACAGAACCATATGCACAGCACACCTGGGCATCCGTGGCCCCCGTTAAGGCCTCCATCCAGCGCTGGGTGATCTATCTCCTGCTGCTCCAGCCTGTTGGAGAAGGGCCTTTTGTCACTGCAGCTGAAAGCTTCCATCCACTCAGACAAGCCACCCAGACTGACAGGGCTCAGAGAGCACGGCCTCTGGAAAAAGCTAAGATCTACCATGTAAGGAGGGACAAGGAGGCTCGGAGCTGAAGCAAAATAGAATATGGAAGACAGACCCCGGCTTGGCAGAGAATCTTAGAAAACACACATCAGGTTCATCCAGAAAGATGCTGGCGAGGTGGTGACCAGCAGAATGAAATGGAGACTCCAGGCGTTCAAAGGAGGGTGATACGTGTCTCAACCCTCAAACTTTGTCTAGAAAATTTAGGGTGTGGAGAAACAGCAAAACAGTTATCTTGTATGGAGGGATTAAAGTGATTGCAGTTTCTCACTCCAGCAATAAAATATTAATTTACACACTTCTGAATTTAAAGTAGCCATGTGAAAAATTGAAGGCAGGAGACGTATACTCTGCCATTTCCTGGAAAGGACAAGGCAAACTAAACATGATTCAGATGGCAAAAGACCAAAATATCAAAGGCTTTTTTTTAAGTGAAAAATAATGGGCAGAAGGCCAATCATATGATTTTTGTGTCTGGGAGGAAATAAAAGGAACACACCATGAAACCATATAAACCATAAGGGAACTGAATTTTATTAAAAATATATGCCTATAGAGAAAGACTGAAATGGAATATCCAAAGCATGATAGTTACAGATTAGTCAAATCACACAGGTCTTTTTATTTCATTTTTCAATTTTTTGGTAATAAATGAGTGTATTTATAATCATGAACTTATCCTGAACGTAACTAAACTTGAATATATATTTATTTATGATGCATGTTAATTGGTGGTGGTTGATAGCATATTAAAAAGAAGAGACATTACTTTGCCAGTGAAGGTCTGTCTAGTCAAGGCTATGGTTTTTCCAGTGGTCATGTATGGATGTGAGAGTTGAACTGTGAAGAAAGCTGAGCGCTGAAGAATTGATGCTTTTGAACTGTGGTGTTGGAGAAGACTCTTGAGAGTCCCTTGGACTGGAAGGAGATCCAACCAGTCCATCCTAAAGGAGATCCAACCAGTCCATCCTAAAGGAGATCAGTCCTGGGTGTTCATTGGAAGGACTGATGCTGAAGCTGAAACTCCAGTACTTTGGCCACCTCATGCGAAGAGTTGACTCATTGGAAAAGACCCTGATGCTGGGAAGGATTGGGGACAGGAGGAGGAGGGGACGACAGAGGATGAGATGGTTGGATGGCATCACTGACTCGATGGGCATGAGTTTGAGTCAACTCCAGGAGTTGGTGATGGACAGGGAGGCCTGGCGTGCTGCAATTCATGGGGTCGCAAATGGTCGGACGCGACTGAGCGACTGAACTGAACTGAACGTCACTAAATTGTGTCCAGCTCTTGCGACCCCGCAGACTGTAGCCTGCCAGGCTCCTCTGTCCATGGGGTTCTGCAGGCAAGAACACTGCAGTGGGTTCCCCTGCCCTCCTCCAGGGGATCTTCCCCACCCAGGGATTGAACCCGGCCTCCTGCATTGTAGGCAGGTTCTTTACCATCTGAACCTGAAAAGGACAGAGAGATACTTCTGGTTTTGCTCTTATCATATGTTTTGCTTTAGTTGTTTTGGGAATGACAGAGGGACTGAGACTGAGGAAGGGGACAGACAGGCCCCAGGCGGAGCAGCTGCAGCCCATGTCCTGCTGACATTTCGAGAGGGGATCTGAACCCCCTCCCCCCACTCTGCCCCCACGAACCCCACCCCCAGCCCGGCCAAGGGTCCCCACGTCTCTCCGACACCCGCCCTGTGCAGCACTGACCGTCCTTTTGGTTTTTCCAGGAGGCATTTTGCTAAGATCCCCCCTCCCCGCCTCTCATGCCCGACAGCCTCTCACTGTGACCCCGGAGCCGCTTCCGAGTGAAGGGTGCAGGAGCACGGAGCTGATCCGGGAGGCGATCTCAGAGGCCGGGTCAGGAGGCCCCGGCGCACGTGCCTTGGCAGGGCCTCCGAGGTGAGCAAGCCGGCTTTGAACCTCCCGGGTCCCACCCCAGTGACTGCAGGCGGCTCCTCACACAGAGGAGAGCTGTAGGCAGGAGGCTTGGCTGGGACGGAGCCCCTTGCATGGCGGCATCCCGGCTTCTGCTCCAGCTCATCGAGGGTCCCGCGTCCTCTGTGCTGGGGACCCCCTGCCCTCCCGCCCCTCCGCGCTGGCCGCACATGCTTGCTGGGGGTCTCCGACCTGCACACACCAGCCCCCACCCTCCACCTCCTCCTGGCCCCGCCCCGCCCTGATCCCCTCGGTTTCCTCTCTTCCTCTGATGGATCCTGAAAGCAGTGTCCACACGTCCTGTCTGTCCCCACGACAGGACACCTCGGGCTGCTCGAGTCCACCCTATCGAATTGCTTCCCCGCCGTCCAAAGGCGAGCCCCCACCTCTGTCCTTGGTCACGGACCATCCTGGGGGCTCCCCTTCTTCACACCACCTCGCTGCTCTCCCAGTGACCCCCGCCATGGTGCCTCCGCCTCCTTGTTCCCACAGGCAAGCCACTCCTGGGTGTCACAGTCAAGAATCCGCCTGTGATATGGGAGACCCTGGGTTCCACCCCTGCGTCGGGAAGACCCCCTGGAGAAGGAAATAGTGACCCACTCCAGTACCCTTGCCTGGAGAATTTCATGAACAGAGGAGCCTGGTGGGCTACAGTCCATAGGGTTGCAAACGATCAGCCCGATTAAGGGACTGACATTTCCCTTCACACTGGTGTCGTCAGAACATGTGCCTCCAAATGGCCAGACGTGCAGTGTGGACGCCTGGCCAGTGGGGGAAGCAAGGTTTGTCCCTCCTATCTCCTCTTCCGCTACTTGGGAGGCTGAGTGCTGTGACTTATCATCCCGAGCTGGCGACGGGCTGGCCGGGGGCGTCTGTGGCCTGGGGACCACCTCAGCACCATACTCATGGAGAGATGCCCATGGAGCCCGTTTGGGGGGCCATTCCTGGCCGCGGCGGTCACCTGGGCTGGTGAGCACAGACTGACCGGGGAAAGGCGGACTCAGTCGTTGGTCTTAAAAATACAGACACACTTTCCCTCGCTGTCATCAAAAAAAGAAACCTAAACAAAACAAAAACAAACAGAACCTCCATCCATTATGTTTCTGGTCTGTATCCCCCTCCCCTCTTTAAGTGACCAGGGCCCATCCCAGCAGAAAGGAGGGACGTCTCCTCCAGGAACTCCGAGGGTCTCTGAACCACATCAGTGATACACATCCTCTGCTCAGAACACATACTCACCCTGTTACCCCCATCTAATAGCACCATTTCCTGGCTGGCGCAGGCTTGTCTGCTTGGGACACTCCCAACAGGAGGGAGTAGAAGCATCACCCGGCCCAGGAGGCTTCCAGAGAGGCGTCCTTATGCCGTATCGATGGGTTGAGACCTTCTTAACACATTTCACTTGTGATCTTTTAAAGCTGTCAGACTGGAGTGATTTTCAGTCACTTTGCTCTGGAGTGGATTTGCAAACATGTCCCAAAGGTGGTAGATTAATAGATTAAAAAGGCAAAGTATTAATCTGGGGCATCGTCCTGTCTCCTTCTGCAGGAGATACCATATCACTGTCAAGCGGACCTGGCAGCTCTGCAGGGAGGCGTCAGCGGGCTTCACGTCGCTTCTGGCAACTGGGAGGGTTTGCAACCAAGGGCTCCGGGTTTGCCTGGACGTGGGGAGGAAGGCACGTGCCCACTGCCCACCCCCCCCACAAAGCGGTTAGCCTACACTTTATTCTCTGGACACAGGGCACAGCTGTCTGCTTGTTACAGGGAAGTCTTGAAACAATGTGACCCACTGTGTATTTGTCTGCCCAACTTTCTTGAAAGAAATCAGTTTTTCTTCATTGTTTAATGCCAGATTTCCCAAGAAAGCAAGAGGGAGCTATTAGAGACATCTGTCCCCCTCAACATGATGATACCCAGGATTCGTGGGTAGAAGCAAGAGTCTGGATCAGTCACTGTCTTCAACCTCTCCAGCTCTCTGGGTCTGTTTGTGAGTTGACTCGACAAAACCACGGCTGTGTTCAAGGAAGCTAGGGGTCCCCATCCCTCCTCTTCCATTTTGCAGCTTAAGGTCCATTTCTGGAGCAGCACGAGGCATTCTGCATCACATGAGTAACTGCTAGCTTCGAATCACCCCTCAGAAAAGACAGAGGTCTACTGGTCTGAGCAGCACTTGGTGCGGGTGTCGTAAAGTCTGGAGTGGGTGAGCTGCAAGAAGCCGGCTCTGCGTCTCTCCCCGGGGGGCCCAGGAGCCTCACGTACAGAAGTGGTCCCGGTCACAGGACGGACCTCCATCTAGGCACGCGCTCTCCCCAGAGCCTGGGACCGAGGGGAGAGTAGGTGTTCACTAAGTGCCCAGCACATACAGGTGTGTTTGGGTGAATCATTCCAGAACCTTCACATACCCGGAGGACTCGCTTCCCCTAGAACCTTCTCTAGAACCTTCCAGAACCTGCTCTCTTCATCTGTGCTTTTTCCAGAGACTTTTGTACAAGACTTTACACTTCAGACATCATCTCTAGCTCCTCCCTTCCCCCACTTAGGATGGGGATGCTTGCAGACAGCCAGGCCTCCACAACCCACACTCTTTTTTTTCTCAGAATGGGCACCAGCCAAGCAAAGCTCGGAGGAACTTTGCTGACAGTATAGGCTCAGGCTCAAAGGTGTGTTTTCTTGCTTCTGAAATTTCAGAAACAAAAAAATCCTTGCAGGATCCCTTTCGCGGTCTCGCCCCCTAAATCATGAGGATGTCTGAAGTTCGGTGTCACCGGGACCATATTTTCTATGGTGTTCTTTCAAAGCATGCTCCTGGAAAAGTACTTTGGGAGGCAGAGTCTGAAGCCTTAGGAATTATTAGTATTTTCATTTCGCCAGGAAGCAATGGGGCAGAACAGCCTGGCGGCCGCATGCCCAATACAGTCCCTGGGGGACTCCAGCAGGCTTGTCTGAAAGACCCCCCGGCCAGGTCCCCGTGGACAGGCTGGCGCAGCTTGGCTTCAACAAGATTCGGGGTCTTGCTTTTTCCAAGGCCCGGCTCCTGAGAGCTGTCAGATGCTGCCGTGGGGACACAGAGGGGCCTTACAAATACGAGGGCAGTCTGATTTCTGAGGCCCCATGTGTGTTACACAGAAAATCCTGTAGCCTAGTTCTTTGTGCAAAAGACCCTAGTACGGAGCTAGGGAGCTGCCCAGCTCCATCCCTGAGGCCAGCCTGACGCCTGAGACCCCGGGACACACAGGAGACCTGGGAGGGGCTGGATTCTCCTCCTGTGACCCAGGTGGCCCTGCCTGAGGCCCTGGGGAGACAGGGCTGTTTTCAGGTTCTTGGGGGCCACCCTCCAGGGTGCCAGAAGGAGGAGGTACAGGTGGATGCTTGTCAGGACACTGGCTGGTGGAAAGGCCCTAGCAAATGTCCTCTGATCTGCTTGTGTCTGCAAAGGCGCCGTGTGTGTTACAAACACAGTAAAGATGCTCACTGTCTGTGCCTTTAATGTCAACGAGGTCAGAGTGTATGTGAAGCCTGCTTTTGTCCTTCTTAGAAGTTTGCGTTTAAGATCAGGTCATCCTCAAGCTGAAGCTGGAGCACTTCTAGATAACTCATGCAGGGTGTCTTGTCCTTGGACTTTAGACTGGGTGCCTCCTTGGATAGGTCCCCCCATCCTGTGTGGGTTCCTGGTGGGCACCTTACCCGACTCATCACGGCTCCTTCTCAGCCCCGGCACAGGGGTCCTGTGTGACGGACACGTCCCAGGTAAGTGAGTGAGTGAACGAATGAGTGAGTGAGTGAGTGAATGAGTGAGTGAGTGAGTGATGAGTGAGTGAGTGAACGAATGAGTGAGTGAGTGAGTTAATGAATGAGTGATGAGTGAACAAATGAGTGAGTGAGTGAATGAATGAGTGAGTGAGTAAATAAATGCCTTAGTGAATGAGTGAGTGAGTGAATGAGTGAATGAGTGAATGAGTGAGTGACTGAGTGAATGAGTGACTGAGTGAATGAGTGCATGAGTGAGTGAATGAGTGAATGAATGAATGCTTTAGTGAATGAGTGAGTGAGTGAATGAGTGAATGAGTGAATGAGTGAATGAATGAATGGCTTAGTGAATGAGTAAGTGAATTAGTGAATGAGTGAATGAATGAATGCATTAGTGAGTGAGCGAGTGAATGAGTGAATGAATGAATGCATTAGTGAGTGAATGAGTGAATGAATGAATGCCTTAGTGAATGAGTGAGTGAGTGAATGAGTGAATGAGTGAGTGAATGAATCAGTGCTGCTCCAGCTTCAAACAGACACCCTGTGTTCCTTCTCTCCAGAAGCTCAGGGCAGGAAGAGGAAACAGCCCTCCCCCAAGGGCTGAGAAACACCCAGGTGCAGTGCCATGGACAGTAGAAAAGGTTGCTCGGGCCTGCTAGGCCTGGGGAAGGCAGAGAAGGCTTCCTGGAGGAGGAGACAATAATCAGCAGCAGGCAGGGTCAGGGGGCAGCCACCAAACATTTTAATCCTGAGAGCAGGTTGATGTGAGGGGGTGACGTGGGGGTCCCGAGGCCCCGCCAGTGGGTGCCCCTTGGCGTGCGTGGAGGGCAGGCGGGTGGGGGTGAGCTGGGGGGGGCTCTGCTGGTCCAGATGAAAGGTGTCTAAACACATAACTGGTCTTCTAGCCTTTGATAGCTGCGTGGTGCCCGAGGGATGCCCTTTCTTGTCCCAAATGCATGCCCAGTGCCTTTGTGAGAGGAGAAGCATCTATCCCGAGGGGCTCCCTGGGTACCAAGGCAGCCACGTGCTGGCCACTCAGCGCCTCGCACTAGGAGGGCAGGGCGGGAGGCAGCCCTGGCCAAGGTGGGCTCCGGAAGCAAATTCCCAAAGAGGGGCTCTCCGTGTATCATCAGGCGGAGTTGGTGCTGGGCGGGAGGTTTTGTTAGAGATGAGGAAGGGGGCGGGAAGCAGGGGACGACTTCCCTCCTTTCCAGGCACCCGCGAAGGCCCCCGACGTGGGAGTGAGAAGCCTTCAGGGTGGAGCAGGGTGTGCTCGGGGTGGGGGTGAGGCAGGTTGGACAGGGAGGGCGGGAGCTCTGGCCGTGAGGTCCCCAGAAACTGGCCCAGCTGACCCTCTCTGACCCTTCCTTCTCCCTGAGGTCCCCGGCCATGGCTCGATCTGCTGGGGGCCTGGGGTGAACGAATCCATCAGCCCAGGGGCAGGGGTGAGGGCAGGGGTGGGTGGAGCCATCAGCCCAGGGGCAGGGGTGGGGGAGAGGGCCTGGGTGCCCCTGGGGTGGCTCTCCTTTCGGTGGGCGGCCTGGTGGGGGGGTGCTCCTGTCTTCATGTGGGAAACCCTTGCCAGGTGCCACCGAAGGTCTCCCAGGGTTCTCGGGAAACTCCAGGGCCCTCGGAGGCAGCCCAGACCCCCCACAGCCGGCCCTGGTCCCCTTCTGCACCCCACTCCTTCCTGCTGCTTCCGGGACCCCTGCCTTCTCTGGCCAGGCCCTCAGCGGATGCCAGGTCACGCCCCAGGCCTGCCAGGAGGTGCCAGGACACATCAGACACTCCCACAGGGCCGGGGTCGGTGAAGAAGAGGCAGCCATCGGGGGCAACTCAGAGAAGGAATTGGTGTCCCCAGCGGAGGAGAGGGCCCCCGGTCAGCCGGACACCCCCAGCAGGCCGACGAGTCTCAGACATGGCGGGGGGCGGAGGGGCTGCAGTGCTGAGTGTGGACGGAGTCCAGCTGCCTTCACCCCCAGGGTGGTCCCTCCTCCCTACCTTCTCACAAGGACTGGACTCAGAGCCCTGTGCCCTGCGGCACATCGGGTGGCCAGGAAGCTGGGCCGTGTCCCCTCGGAGCCCAACACAGTCTGCTGGCACCTTGAGCGTGGACGTCCAGCCTCCAGAACTGTGAGCAGTACGTTCCACTGTGTACAAGCCCCTGGCGTGGGCATGTCGTCACAGCGGCCCGGATGGTGGTGCTCGCGTCCTGAAGTCGCAATGGACGTAGCTCTTGGAGGAACGCCGGGCGAGCCTCTACAGTGAGGTGGGGCTAAATGGTGCCTCGCGCTGGAGTCGGAGGAGGAACCCCTACCCCGAGGGTCCCCCACGTCAGGCAGGTGTACCCCGCAGCCCCCCAGGGCACTTGGCATCCTTGCCCCTGCAGGGACAAGTGCATCTCCAGGGGGAGCGAGTGAGAGCTAAGTGGAAAAAGGAGGTGTGTTTTACTTCTTGCTTTTTCATCTTATAGATACATTATGGCTCAGACGATAAAAAAAAAGTCCACCTTCAATGCAGGAGATTCCTGTTTGATCCCTGGGTTGGGAAGACCCCCTCAGAAGGAAATGGCAACCCACTCCAGTATCCTTGCCTGGAGAATCCCATGGACAGAGGAGCCTGTTGAGCTACAGTCCATGGGGTCACAAAGAGTCGGACACGACTGATGGATTATCAATATGTTAGCTGTTTTCTAATAAACTGATCAAGATAATTTGAAGGGCAGAAATTCAACACATCTCTTCAAACCCAGTTTCCAAGAAACTTCTTGTGTGTTTCCTCAAACATTTCCTTTGGGCTGGTTCTGCTTTTTGTCTTGGGAATCCCTTGAGATACCGGACACGGTTTTTGGCTGAGGAGTCAGCGCTCAGGAACGTCCTGTGCTCAGCAGAGACCAGCATCCCTTGGCTTCATTCCGGGGGTGTCTCCGCATGGCTAGGGATCTGACCCAGGATTCTTTCTGGTGGGGCTTTCCTCTCTTTTAAAGCGGCAGTTAGTGAAAATGGAATCTGTGTTCACCGTAGTGGTGTCAGGGTCATCAGATGCACACAGGGTTTCATGCCTGGGGACCAGCGTTCCCCGAGCAAAGAGGCATGCAGGGACCACACAGGACCTCCAGGCTTGGCAGGGGTGGTGTCCCCGCCCCCGGGAGCAGGGCCGGGGCTGCTCTCTGGACCCGGGTCAGCAAGCCCTCAGCTCCACTCCCAGGCATCCCTGCAGGTCCTCGCTCTTGCCTAAACGCTCCTCCGCCCACTGGTAAACCGCCGGAACACATCTCAGCTCTCCTGCAAGCACTGTCAGGGAAGAAACAGATTTGTCGAGAACACCCAGGACTCTGGGTGTTTTGCCTTTGAAGACTTAGGAAAGTATAGATCGCATGCCCAGTGCCATAATTTATACTTCAGAAGGCTGATCTGGGGAAATGTAATTTTGACTAATTTATTGGCCAGCCCTGGGCTTGCCCCCCTGCAACACAGCTGCAGATAATTTCCCTCCACAGCCCGTTTCAGGGTTTCCCAGTTATCAAAGCCCCCCACACATCTGCCAGCCGCATGAGCCGGGGAGAGCGCCTGCCCCACCACGGTCTTCCCTTGGACACCCCGGGGTCCTCACCGGACGTGGATGAGGGAGAGATTGCCCACACAGAAGGGGAGCTGCTGACCAGCCATCCTGGGGGCTCTCGCCTTATTATTCCTTCCTGTGTGTCTGTCTTACGTGTCAATGCAAAAGATTCTGTAATGGAAATGGAAGGGAATAATTTCTGGTCAGTGTCAGGCCATGCAGGCTTCCCAGGTGGTGCTAGTGGTAAAGAGTCTGCTGGCTAGTGAAGGATACACGGGATCCATCCCTGGGTCGGGAAGATCCCCTGAAGGAGGAGATGGCAACCTGCTCCAGTATCCTTGCCTGGAGAATCCCATGGACAGAGGAGCCTGGCGGGCTACAGTCCAGGGGTGGCAAAGGTCAGACAGTTCTGAAGGGAATTCACACACAAGCTCAGGGCATGCTCCAGCAGCCCCAGCTGCACCGCTCCCAGCCCGACCTGACCCAGCGCAGCCACTGTCTGCAGGGAAGTCCACGGCTACACACATGGTCCCGCCCATCTTCCCGGGGCTCTGGACACCCCCCTCCTCCCAGGACGCTCTCCTCACCTCACAGGGCTGAGTTTCTCTCCATGACGTCATTCTACTCCGAGACCGTTGGAGCAACGCTGTCTATCGCTGGTTGGTACCCACTGCCTAGTGCGTTAGGAAGGACAGTTCTGAAAGTCTGAGTGCCTGCGAAAGTGATTCACACACCTGTGCAAACTTGGGAGGCATATGAATAATGAATAACGGGGCAACCCGAAAGGTGGCTTCACTTGGATCCCAGTAATCATGCAGGAAGCAAAAAAAAGGAGAAAAGCAACTCTCCCCACAAAAGCAAAAGTGTTAGGCACTCAGTCGTGTCCCAACTCTTTGCAACTCCATAGACTGTAGCCCACCAGGCACATCTGTCCATGGGATTCTCCAGGCAAGAATACAGGAGTGGGATGACATTTCCTTCTCCAGGGGATCTTCCTGACTCAGGGATCCAACCTGCATCTTCTGCATTGCAGGTAGATTCTTTACCTTCTGAGCCACCAGGGAAACCCCTCCCCACAAAACCAGCAAGCAAATAAAACAAGACCAGAAGACTCCGTGGTGAGAAAACCTATCTCAGTAGCTTCCTCCCCAAGAGCCAAAGTCCAGGCCATGTCTCTTGTGGTGACCATCCTACATCTGGCACCCAGGGCTCCCCGCAGACCCCTGTTGGCGGCCATGCTGGGTGGAGACGGGCTGAGGTTGTGTCCGTGGGTTCAGGGTCTTCAGGCCTCTGTGTCTCACATCTGAGACGTCTCTCTCACCCGGACCCTGGGAAACCCCCCACTGCAGCTGTGATGCGGCCACAGGGAAGGCTGCAAGGTCAAGGTGCTGGGCAGTGAGGTGTCAGGCAGGTCCGCTCTCCATCTCGAGCCAGCGTGTGTCTCCACTTCACAACTCAGGCCTCCGGGGCCGGGGCCACCAGCGGGGTACAGCAGGGAGGTCATCTGCAGCCCCAGACGGCTCCCCTCCCGCGGATGGAGGTGGTCGCAATCTCTCAGCGGCTGCGCCTTGAAGGTGGCATTCCGCCTCAGTGTCCTCTGCCTCGTGGTTCTCGGGAAAGCCTTCTCTATTATTTTATGGCTGATTCTCTCTCACGATGCTGCTAGGGGGGCAGACAGCGGGGGCGAAGGCCAGGCACTCGGCCAGGGCTGTGTATTCGGGGACGGACGTGTCCTCTGGACACGCGGGGCTCCAGGACCAGCGCGCCTCCTGGAGCTGTGAGTCCTTGGTGAATCCAGTAACGTCAGAGCCAACCATTTCCATAGATAGTGTGGCTGTTCACACCCATTATGCCTCTGGGCTCCCGGAGGTCACCCGAAGACAGGAGGAACAGAACAGACAAAGGGACTGAGGGAAAAGGCCACACGGCTCGTGGTCCAGCATCTGCTCGTGGAGCGAGAGGCAAGGCCGCCTCCCGCAGTCACGAGGGGAGTGCGTTCCCCAAACTCCATCTGCATGTCTCAAGGGCTTCTAAGGAATATTAAGAAAGACAGACAGAAAGATGGGAGGCAAGATGGGAGGGAGGGACAGAGGACAAGGACTGAAGGAAGAAATCCCAGAGGAGTCCCGGGGGGCGCTCCCGTCTGCGGTGCGGGGGGTTTGCCCTAAGAGAGCCCCTGCGGAGTGCTTACGAAGCCCCGGTAAGTGAGCATCTTTCTGCCTTTTTATACTGTTCATGGGGTCCCCGGACGTGACTTAGTGACTGAACGATGACAACAAGTGAGTGTCTGCTTGGGTGATGGAGGCTGGAGGTGAGATCTGCGCACGGGAGGGACGGGGTCTCATCCGTCTCCAGAGTGCCCGGAAGTCTGGGGAGCACCATGGTCCCGAGCCCTAGAGCCAGCCTGGGTGCCGGGTGCTCCGTGAGGACGGCCTCTGGGTCTCTGACGGGCGGTCCCTGGGGCACTCGTCCTGGCTGAGAGCGGGCGGTGGACACAGACCTGCTCCAGCCCTGACTGAATGCTCAGTGTAGGCTCTCACGGTTCCGGAGCCCAGAGTCTGAACGAAGGGCTCGCCCGCTGCCTCTGCAGTCTTCCTGGCCTCTGCCAGAGTCTGCCAGCCGGCCTCTGTGCCTTGGCTCGTGGCTGAAATCGCAGAGTGCGTTGCCCACGCGTCTCGGCTGGGACTGTAGACCAGGTGCTGTGACCTCCCGTGTGATTCGGGCTTCCTCGTGGTACGGCAGACTCCAGGCCCCAGGGCTCCTTGTCGGTGGCCCAGGGTCCATCCTGAGTGTTCCGGGAGCCAGGAAAAGCCTGGTCATCCCCAGGGACTAGCCTCAGGAACCCAGTGTCTTTTCTGCTGTGTTCTTAGTTAAAACCACCACAAGTCTTCCCAGATTTAAGAAGACAGGACAAAGACCCATATCTGAAGGGCTGTCAAAGAAATTCATATTCATTTTCCTTAAAAAAAAATTACAGCCTGTTCTCTGGTCACAAGCTGTTTACAGTCTTCTCTTGTACAAACTACGTCCAGGCCAAGCCTCCTCGTGAGGATGAGAGTTATGTGCGTGGTTCCTTGTAGAAAGTGAAGTGAAAGCCACTCAGTCGCGTCCGACTCTTTGCCCCCCCCGTGGACTCTACAGTCCATGGGACTCTCCAGGCCGGAATCCTGGAGTGGGTGGCCGTTCCCTTCTCCGGGGGATCTTCCCAACCCAGGGATGGAAGCCAGGTCTCCCGAGTTGCAGGCGGATTCTTTACCGGCTGAGCCCCCAGGGAAGCCCTAGACCTGTGCACAGAGGAGTCCCTGGTCCTTTTCTATAAGAAAGGGGCCTGCACTTGTAACTGAGCAGCCTGATCAACCTGCTCCCTGATGTCAAATATTGTCCTTCCTAAACACTCTCCTTTTTATGTACTATTTCAGTTCAACTTGATACAATTTCTTTAAAAATGCTGTGGGTTTCTTTTGTATCTTAATTCATTCCTTTAATCAATGTCACATCCTCAACATTTTCAAGGTAAGTCCTCCTCCAGCCTGAGCTCCCTTTGAGCACAGTGTGGAAAACAACTTGAAGATTCTTAGAAACCCTATTGTTTAACAAGCTGGGTCTGTGCCTTGAGATTCTGAGAAGATGGGCTAGTCTGAAAGAGCCCTGAATCACTGCCTTAAGCCTTTCCCTGGCCTTTATATGCTCGAGGCCAGCAAGGCCTGCCTCTTTGTTTTTCCTCTAAGTCCTTCAAAACTGAGTAATCCTGTCCATAGCTCATTGTTTTTTCTCCTTACCTTACGATGTTCATCTGTAATAGCTGACAATTTCAACATTCTGCTTAAACATTTCTGTAGACAAATCTTCCATTTTATTGCATACATTATTTCAGGCAATAATTTTGCTAAAATTTCCACCGCTGAATTACTACTTCTTTCCTCTAAGAACTTTTTCCTCCCTTTTTATTGAGTTCTCATTGACGCTTCTTATGACACAGCTCTGTCTTCTGCCGACAGTCTCCTCAAGGCCCTGAAGCCAGTATATCTTAGGTTTACATGATGGTGGCGTCTCACTCTCAGCTGCCAAATTCTGTTCTCATTCCTGCCGACACAAGCAAGTCACCCAGAACTTGATGGCAAAAATGACCATTATAATCAGCTAGTATACTCAGGGAGTTAGGAATTTAAGGAGGCCACTGAGGAGGCAGTGTGTCTGATTTGCAATATCTGGATGGAAACACACAAAGTTTGTTCTGACCCATAGAATGATTTGAGCAAAATATCAGAAAAGTTGTCTGGTGCTGGAGCGGTCAGCCAGGATGCGTCCATGTGGCTGAACTTCTTGAGCACAACAGACTCTCCGACTCCAGGGCTCAGAAGGGCAAGCCGAAGCTGGGCTGTGTATTTTACACCAGCCTCAGACGTGGAACACGTGTGTCTGATGCTGTGCAGGGTGGGGCGGATGCTGACTGCCGAGGGTGGGAGAGGAGGGGGCTTGCAGCCCCCAGCCTGATGGGAGGAGCAGCAAAGACTTTCGCGCCTGTTTTTTTTCCCCTTCATAAATTGCCTCATGCATTATGCCAAATTAGATTAACTAAACCAATTCCAAATAATGAAACTGCCAGATAGCTGAGGGCAAATGATTTTCTGCTCGTTCATTAATGGAATCCATCCATCCACCCATGTGTTTACACACATGTTCCCGCCATGCAGCTCGTGTGACAGACTGTGAGGACCTGTGGTCACCCTTCTGCGCCCCCACTGGCTCTGAGGGGCCTCGGAGGACCCCTCCCATGCGGGGCGGGGCTGGCAAGTGTCCCGAGGGCCCCCTCCTCCTCCACGCCCCCGCCGCACCCACCCTCTGCCCAGCCACCGGGAAGCTCTCTCTAACGTAGAGTGGACTGTGGTCTTTCTTGCTCACAACCTTTCAGGGGCTCCAGCTGCTCCTCTGACAAAGCAAGGTGCCCTGGAGTGTGCCGGGGGCTCAGGCCCGCCCTTCCGTGCAGTCTCGGGGTCTCAGCCCCCTCCTTCCCCTGCTGTTCTCTGCATGGACTCAGCCTCAAATGCAGAGCTCAACCCTGGCACTTGCGGGCTCTGTCTGTCTCCACGCTCCCTCTTTCTTTCTCTCTCTCCCTGGCCTTGGCGACTTGGCTGGAGCCCTCCCTGCCTTCCCCTTTGTCGCTAAGCCCCTTCTCCGCATTCCAGCATCTCCTGCGTCCTCTGCGCTCCTTTCAGGGTTTGCGGCCGCCGCCGGACACAAGGAGGGCAGGACCAGCGTGTCCCACACGGGGCTGTGACCCCGGCACCACCACTAGGCCTCGAGGTGGCGAGCGCTGGTTGGACGGTTCCAGGAGCGGCTTCTGTGGCTGACTGTGGCCCCCTCAGTGCAGGCTGGAGCCCAATCTGAGGGGAGGAGTCCACCCCGGCCAGCCACCCCGCCTCGCTTCTGCGCCTCCGCCCGGCGCCTGGAAGTGGGATGCCGGACCCTGGAGGAGGACTTCTGACCCTGCTGGGGGGTGTCGTGTGCGGCAAAGGACACTCGTCTGTCTTCGCAGCGATGCTGGGAATCCAGACCCTGTTCCCCACCGTGCCCGTGTGAATCAGAGGTTGTCTTTAACTCACTGGTTGACTCTTGGGCTCAATGGGAGTCAGGCTCCCGGGAGGATGACAGAGGAGGCCAGGGTGGCTGAGGCACGGCCATCACTTGCCCCTGGTGCATCCCGAGCCCCTCCACGCATCCGTGGTCCAGGAATGTGAGAAACAGCGCAGGGTACAGCCCGGCCAGGCGACGGTGTCAGAGCGAGTTCTGGTCCGTGAAGGCGCCTCCGTGGGCCCACAGCGGTGGTCCCCACGCCCCCTCTTACTTCTGCACCGGGAGAGGGGACGGTTTTCCAGATGGCCGCATATATATGCACACGTTTTCTTTTCCTAGCTCACTGATGATTTCAAGAGCAGAAGGGCCGCGAGCAGGAAGTGCTGGCGGGCCCCATGGTGTGGGGGTGGGAGGGCCTGTTGTGGGCCTGGCTGGGGGGCCTGCCTGCACCCTAGCTAGAGTCTCTGCCAAGACATTCTGGGCATCTGGAGGCAGATCCCGGGGGAGACGTTGTGGGGGCATCGTGGGCCCCGGCCTGCTTGAGTGGAGAAGCCCGATCCTGCTTCTGCTCCACAGTTGAGCCGCAGTGGGAGGAAGCAAGGGGCCTAGGGCACCCCTCCCTCCCCTCCCCTCCCCACCCCTCCCCTCTCCCCTCCCCACCCCTCCCCTCTCCCCTCCCCACCCCTCCCCTCTCCCCTCCTCCCCTCTGCCCTCCCCCGGATTTGGAGCGTTTGTCCCCATGATGGTGCCACAGAGACGCGGGCCTGAGTTTTCCGCAGAAGCTTCACAGCAGGAGCCAGGCACCTGGAGCCCTGTCCCCCGTGAGTCCCCCCTGCCTCGCCGTGCCCCGGCCTTTGCAGGCCTCAGTTCTGGAGCGCTGACGCCCCGTCGTAGGTGCTGACAGACGCCTGCCTTACTCCTGGTGGCTCCGGACGGGGCACCCCCTTCGGTGCCAACAGCGAGGGCCCTCTTGCTGCTAGTAACACTCAAGGGATTCCAGGCCCCTCCCTGCCCCAGCCCGGGGTCCCTGCACCCACTCAGACCCCTGCCTTCCCGGGCACGTCTCTCCTCGACCAGCGAGGGGTCTGGCCGGGATGGGGGACAGTTTGCAGAGGAGCTGTGCTGTGCCCACCCACCCGTCCCCCGCAACCTCTTGCTTATCCCAAGAGCAGATGCCTTTCATCCCAACAGCAGATGCCTTTCATTACTGCCACACACGTGAAAACACCCTGTATGGCCACTTCCTCTTGAGCGAGACCAGGTGTGTGAGTGTGTGTGTGTGTGTGCGTGTGTGCATGTGTGTGAAAACGTAAACAGATTGTATAACAGAGTGTTCTCTAGCTGTCAGCAAGGGCTTTGAAAATAAAACACTTCCCTCCCAACTCACAATTGGCTGGCAGTAGGCACATAATGAATAATCGCTCCGGGGACCCGTGGAAAGATGTGTGGGAAAACTTTAATTAAAAGCTTGTCAGTACAGTTTTACCTGGGTGACATCACCCGCCTGAAATGCTGCTGGGGGCTTTGTTGTCTGCGGGATCGCAGGGCACACACTTGTTTTGCTGACAGCAGACAATTCAGAGAGGCCTTTAAGAGCAGGCGGTGGGTGGACAGGGGTGGGCGGGAGTGGCGGACGCCTGGGGATCCGTCGTGTGTGGGGTTCTGATTTCCTGAGGAGCGGTTGGCCTCAGCTCCCTGGGGACTGGGCAGCTCCGGCCTCGACTGGGTCCCAGAGACTCAGGTAGGGGCCCCACGGAGTCTCCAGGGCCAGGCCAGGAGCCGGAACTGCATTCACCCTAAAGGTGGTCCAGCTTCCAAGGGGTGACTGAGGCCCGTGAGCAGCCCCCTGGGCAGAGATGTGTTAGGAAATACATGCCTGGTTTGAGCTGAGGTTTCAGATCTGCCAGAAGCCCCTACAGGGCGAGGCAGAGGACGTTTAGGGTTTGTGGCCCTGCAAAGCGATTATTTTCAGATGTGCTCTGAGCTGAAGACGCCCACTCCTGCCTGCATCACCTCCAAGTGAGTCATCATAATGGATCCCGAGTCTCCGTTTTAGCCATTTAAAATGACATATTCTGAGGTGAGAAAGAGAATTTGGGTTTCGACCAGAGTAGAGACCTGGAGGTTCCTTACCAGACCCTGTCAAGGTTGCAAGGTGGGGTTGGGGCTGGGAGTTCTCTGCCTTATGGATTTGGCAAAGTACCTCACATTCCTTGTTGCTTTTCTTTTGTGCCTCACTAATTTGTTACAAGCTTGCATTCCTAATATTAAGGGATTAATTGCAAGTTATAGCAATTAAATACTAATTAATCCATTTTCCGAACAATGACTTCCTTTTATCTATAACTGTTTACTTGACACACACCTATTTTGGTAGCAATTAAACACTGAGATACAGCCTGACACTTTCCAAGCTGTGTTTAGACATGTAAACACGCAATTGTGTTACTTTTATCAGTCACTTCAAATGGTGGGGCGGCAGAGCAGGGAGGAGTGTTGACACGGCTGAAATAATGACAGGCCTGGCTTGGAGGCAGCACGTGGCTCCCGAGAGACCCGCCTGATTATCGTGTGACTTTATCTCGGGTGGACCGTCTCCACGTCTGCACTTGACCATCGGGCCAAAGGCTGTAAGGGGACCACAGCTCACACCCTCCAGCAGGCAGGGTCCCAGAAGATCCAGCCTGCGAAGATCCAACAGCCTCCACTGCAAAGTTCCAGTCCTAGGCTCACAGAGAAAATATTTGGAATCAATTAGGTTCACATCAAAGGCGGCTTTCACAGCTGCTGTGCTTGTCATCCCAGGACTGGGCAAATAGGTTTGTGGCAAGGATGAGCAGTCTTTAGCTTATGAATGGACTGAACTCTAAAAGTTCGTGTGCAAGTTCCCAAAACAGCACCATATATGGTGGTGAAGGTCCCAGGCCAGCCTGTAGAAAGCTCAGCTGGTCCTGTTCAATGCAGCTGACTTCCCTGGAGCTGATTTCAGGAGAAGATGCATCCTGGGCTCGGACGTGGACGTGGATCTTGTCCCTCCGGCGGCTGGTGGAAGACGTTGGGGAACAAGGTGGCTGCTACCTTCAGGGCTTCCCTCAGCTGTCACGGGGCTGTGACCGAGGGCAGCCCACCCGGACAGGGAGGCTGCAGGCTGGAGGTCGGGTTCAGGAGGCTGAGTGTACAGAGGGTCTTTGAGAGCGACTGACCGTTTCACCTGTTATTCTTCTGGCAACTCGTCCGTTTATCTGGCGTTTCCACAAGCCAGTGTGGCCGGGCCTTTCCCCGTTCCTCCCTCTTCCTTCACTTGCTGTTACCTGGTGTTCCTCTCCCTCCTCGGACTTCCTCTTCCTCTTTCCCTTTGTCTCTTTTGTTTCCTAAACTGAGTCAGGGTTTCAAAGCAAGGGGAAGATTGCTTTGGTGTCTATCTTTTTGTTTTCTGCAGAGACCCAGATATACTGTCAGATTTGCGTTCTTCCTGCTTTCCTTTCCCCTTTTCTGTAGTGTCTTCCATTTCACGATCAACTTCAGCATCTTGTACCGCCCGAAAAGGTCTTCCCAGGGGACCGTGTGGTAAAGAATCAGTCCACCAAGGCAGGAGATGCAGGTTCGGTCTCTGGGTGGGGAGGATCCGCTGGAGAAGGAAACGGCACCCACTCCAGTGTGCTTGCCTGGAGAATCCCAGGGACGGAGGAGCCTGGCGGGTTACAATTCAGGGTCGCCTCCCTGCCACCTGTGTTCTGTCTCCTTGATGCAAGTGCAGGTGAAATACTCTTTGGAGCATCTTTTGAAAAGGTATATAGATAGCGGTTCATGATCTTCTTATTAAAATATCATAATTTCGGTTGGTACAAGGCTTATTTTCCTAAAAACCTCATTTGAGGGAACATGTTGAAAATCTTAAGATAATTGTAAGGAAGTTCTAGTCTAGACAGGGACTGTTACTTCCAAAATATTTATTGTGTCTCCCCCGAGAGCTTCAGTGGATGAAGACTGGAGTGCCTGCCCCAGGGGGCTGTTGGCTTCCTGGGGGCCCAGAGTTAGGAAGCCTGGGGGAGTGGTGGGGGTGCTCAGAACCGAGGGGGAACTCAGCTACCTGCTGGTTGCCGTGGAGACGCTAATTCCGCTGGTGCTGCCCAAACTCGCCCCGTGGCTGATACTGCGCTTGTGGTGAGTTAAAGCCCCGGGTCTTTTCCACAAGAGGCTGTGTTAATCCGGGGCTTTCCCTCCCGTACAAGTGGAGTCGGTTTGCTCACCCTAAGTGCACAGCATCACGTTATCCCGGGACGTCACCTTGCTAATGCTGCTCCTTGGCGTTCTTTGTAAAGGAGGATTCTGTTGCTCAGAATTAGAGATCTCGCTTGACTCTGTGTCGACATGGTATTTGATAATCCCGGCTTCTGTGTCTGCTTCCAGCTTGTTGATACAAATGTTTCTCTTTTACTTTTCTATTAGTGGCTTAGTGTGATTTTTTACATTAGTCATTACATATTTTTTATCCATAGATGACTTCTTTCAGAACCAGTTCTTTGAGAATTAGTCATGTTACTTTGCAAAACCCAGCCAGGTGGTCTAGCAGTTAGGATTCTGGGCTTTCACTGCCATGGCCCAGGTTCAAACCCTAGTCCCGGAACTGAGATCCTGCAAGCTTCACAGCACAGTCAAGAAAAAAGAAAGAGTTTTAGTAATTAAAGTCATTGAGTACTTGCCTAGGAAAAGATGAATCAGTTAATGGAATTGCGTGCCTCATCTGAGGAAAGAGGACAGACACTCATCTACCAAATTACAAAGGAGCGTTTATGTTGACAAGGAAATTATGAGATGTTGACTTCACAATGACACTTTTGGCTACTCGTTTGGGGGGAAAAAAAACTCATGAAAAAAATCTGAATGCAAATAATCCATCTGATAAAATAGGAATATACATCTTACACAAAAATAAATTTAAGGTGTATAACAGTATTCAAAACACAAAAAATAAAACCACAGAGGTTTAGGAAGAGGAGTAAGTTCGTTTTTGTTACATTGTTCTAGTTTTGGGAAGAACTGTCAAAATATGCATGCTAAGTCTCGTCAGTCACTCTGTGCGACCCTACGGACTGTAGTCTGCCAGCTGTCCTTGGGATTCTCCAGGAGAGTACTGGAGTGGGTGCTATTTCTTCTCCAAGGGATCTTCTCAATCCAGGGATCAAACTTGAATTTCATTCACCAGAATTTTTCTGAAAAAGAATGAAAAATCTGACTAATAAAAATTTAAATTCTATTTAGGGCAAATAAAAGCAGAAATCAAGTAAGAAGAAAGGATAAAATGAAAAAAGATGGCATATGATAAGTCAAGAAGAAGACATACATTGAGAGAACAGTCCTGAGGGTCAATAATAGCAGCTGAAACCACGCAGAGCACTTCAAACCTATCGAAAGTCTGCAGCCTGGTTGCGGCAGGAAAGGACACTGAAGTTGAAATGCTAAGTCCCTATTTTTAAACCAGCGAACCCTTTACTAGAACACCCAGGTGGATACCCACATCACCATGTCACAGCTCCAGCTTTAGGAGGAGGAAGGTGACAAGATACACTGGTGATGCTCAGTTGCTCAGTCATGCCTGACTCTGCAACCCCATGGACTGCAGCAGGCTAGGCCTCCCTGTCCCTTCCTGTCTCCCAGAGTTTGCCCAAGTTCATGTCCGTTGAATTGGTGATACCATCCAACCATCTCATCCTCTGCCGCATTCTTCTCTTTTTGCCTTCAATCTTTCCCAGCATCAGGATCTTTTCCAATGAGTTGGCTGTTTGCATCAGGTGGCCAAAGCATATGACAAAATATGTGTAAATTTACAATGTACAAATTCATCAAAGGATGATATTCCCCTTTCGTCTTTGTTGTTATCTGCAACAGACTTGTCTGTTATCTGTTATTATTTTGACTTGCATTCTTTTTGATAAATAGGTAGTGCTTTTTTAAACCGTACAAGTTTGAAATCCAATCTGCAAACTAACAGTGACTCTATGGTCCCGCCCCGTCTTGGCCGTGGGAGACTGTGGTTTCTGAGTCCACGGAGAGCGACATCCACGTCTCTGAACGGGAGAGCTGGAGAAGAAAGAGACGGGAGGGTGGGGGTGTCATGCATGGGAAGGGGGAGGGTGTGCACTTTGCTTCCTGCTTTCCATCAGCTAATCTGGAAGAGAAAAAAGAAAAAAGAAAAACACAAAACAAGGCATGTATCTGGGAGATAAAAACCCAAAGGACACTTAAGTAAAATGCCATTGAACTGGCTGAATTGGGTCAAAAGACCCTCTGAGGGCATTTCATAAGTAGAGTCCCAGGGCTGGGATTCCCTGCCACTGACAAGGAGAGAGGACTTCTGGCTGATGAGGGTGGCGTGTCCCCAGAAGGAGGGCTGAGCTCCTCCTGGCCCCCTCGGATACTTGCTGGCGTCTCTGCCTGTCCGTGTGACCTTGGCTATCCAGGCGGCGGCCAGACCCCTGCCCCCATCTTCGAGGCTCAGCATCCAGGTCAGGCTGACCAGGGCTCAGCCCTCCTCATCAGTAGCTCAGTCACCAGAACTGCTTTTCTGATGACGGGGACTTGGGGGACAACTGGGAGCCTAAGCTTCTAAGCCCCTCTCACTCAGTTTGCTTTTTCTGGTCAACCCATGATTTGTGTTAAGTCCTCAGCACAGAGATAATGTGCAGAATGTGGGCGAGTCCACGCTGTATGATGATAGGAGAGACCTCACTGTGGAGGGCGTGCCTGCGGCCAGAGCCTGCTGAGCCCAGCTGGCCTCCGGGGCGGACCACCGCAGGTGTCGGTCATGGCCACTCACCCCTCCGGCCAGCGAAGAGCAGAGGACCTGCAGAACAGAAAACTGTTCAAGGCCGCCGGGCCCCGGGGCTGGGAAGTGGCACACCCCCTTTGTTTTGGGTCTGCCTGCTGCCTGGAGGGTTTGTGGGGCTCGGTGGAGCCTGCATGCGGAGCACGGCAGCAGGTCCTCATGGGCAGATTGGCCGGCTGGTCAGAGCGCCTCTGACGGCATGTGTCCCCGCAGACTGGGCATCCCCGGCAGGGCAGGACCACGGCTGCGTCACCGCCCGGCGGCACTACATGGCCTGACGGGCGGGCCTGTAACTCTGGGCTGGACCCCGGTCCACAGCCAGAGGGATGTCTCCTCTTAGCAAGACCTCTTCATCCTCCTGAAGCCACCTGTCAGTCTCTGCTGGCGGTCCACCGTCGCCCCCCCACGGCTGCTCCCCACGGGGGCCTCACTGTTGTGCTCAGAACGAAGGAGGGTGCCCGCCCAGGGAGGAGGGGCTCCGGGCTCAGGGGAGCCGCCCAGCCCCAGGTCGGCCTGAGCCCGTGGGACAGGGCTCATCCTGCGTGTGTCCCCCAGCAGCCCTTCTGTATCCACCACCCGCGTTCGTCACACCCAAGCACACCCAAGCCCCTGACTGCCATGTCAAGTGTCTGCTGTGAGAACGGATTGGAGCTTCTCAATTTTCAAAAACTCGTAATGAAAAGAAGTGTGTCATAGGTTGCAGGAAAGGTTGCCAACTTTTATTTAAACCAGAGAAGGCATTAAAGGTCAACAGAAAACACACTCTGACTCAGCTCCAATACTGCCTTTCGTGAAGGAAAGGGCATTTTCTCTTCCTAACCACGGAAGGATGTGAACTCAGAAGGAAGACGCTCTCCAAGCACAGTTGGTGAACTGCTCAGAGCCCATCCACGCTGCATGTGTCTGACTTTCTGCATGGGCTCCGGGTGTTGTGGGGCTGAGCGGGGCTAGGGAACCACTGACCCACGGTTTGCCCACCAGCCAGAATGCTGTGTTTCCACCTCAGATATAACTGAAATAAAACCCAGTTATTATTTAGTCTCCAGGCAGGAACAATTTAAAAATCGGCCCCCCCCACCCAGATAGGCTTCTGTCCTTTGGAAATGGGGGAAAAACAAACAGGTAAGAGAGTTGCCTCCAGAAGAATTGTCTCATTCATCAACTTTTACTCAAGATCCATTTGCCAACTTCCACTTGAGCTAAATTCCACTCCTGAAGATCCACTTTCATCTGGCTTCCCAAGAATGTCACGTCATGTGAGATGTGGTCTTTGGCATTCATCTGATTCTCCTCTGGCTTTGGGTAATTTTGCGATGCAAAGTCAGCCGAGGAATCCATTGGCTTTGGATTTTATAATTTATGCACACTGATGGCTTTGGGCAACTCAGAGCATTTCAAAGAGGCAGACTTTAATTTCTTTGTCTGAATTTATTTTGGCTGAGAGGACTGTGTCACTGTGCAGACCATGCCAGCCACTCGCTCAGAGTATATCATCATTTAAGGGTTGGAACTCAAGACAAAACAAAAACAGAGGCACTGAAGAGAATGCAGCAATAGTTCTGCAAGAAAATCCAGATGAAAGGATCAGCCTGTTAGCACTTCACTCATTTTTGCGTTTCCAGACTGAGTTATACAAATTGTCTTTGAGGAAGTACATAATTGAATGATTGGCTGGATGAACTCAACCAGTCAGAATGATCCATCTTCAGACAACAGGTCTAAACAGAAGGGCTCTTGTTCTGCAGCAATTTAACACTGAGAAGATCTTGGTATCCATCACAGCACACATAGTTTTCAGGTTGATCAAATCACTGTTTACCCAGCCACATTTCATTTCCAGGATGGAGCACTTGCCAGGCACAGAGTTGCTGGTCGAATAAACGAAGAACTTCTCCCCTTTTCAGGGCCCAACATGACTTTGTCGGTGACAGAGTGCCTGTCATCAGCTTGACAGTGGCGCGGCTTCAGCATCACTGGGGGGACTCTGATGCTCCTCCATCGATCTGCCTGGCTGGTCATGCAGTCCTGCAGATGGTGACGGTGGGCGACGCTGGCTGTGACTCACTGCAGACCGATGGGAGAGAGGAACGTGGCTCCCAGCCAGGCTCATCAGAGGACTCCGCAGTTACAGCGCTGGGGACCAGAGAGCTGAGTGGCACAAGGCGACTGAGGGGGCCGCTGTCTGCAGACTGACCATACTTGAATGCTGCTTTTAAATGTTTCTCTCTTAAAGAAGACATTCCAGCGGGAAAGCCCATTTAACCCAAGGCTCGTTTTTTAAGTTGTGGCGCTGAAGCCCAGACTATTCGGGATCTCCACTGTCTTATGGTTCTACGTACTTCAGTGGCCGTGAACACTCTGTGGCTGAGAATAGATTCAGCTCATAGAACTCACCCAAAGTCTCAACACTGAGCATGAAGAACATCTAAGTGTAAAACCCATGATTAATAAGCCCATACTGCTTGTTTAGTCCCTTAATAAAACATGCTTACAAATAAGGAGGTTGACTATCTTTGGAATTTAAAATGTTTTGCCAAATGATTCCTAACGGAAAAACTTTTAAAGTTCTGAAACTTTTCAAGCAATAGTTTTATTATTAGACTGCTGACGCTGCTGCTGCTGCTAAGGCGCTTCAGTCGTGTCCGACTCTGTGCGGCCCCACAGACGGCAGCCCACCAGGCTCCCCGGTCCCTGGGATTCTCCAGGCAAGAACACTGCAGTGGGTTGCCAGTTCCTTCTCCAATGCATGAAAGTGAAAAGTGACAGTGCAGTCACTCAGTCGTGTCCGACTCTTCAAGACCCCATGGACTGCAGCCACCAGACTCCTCCGTCCATGGGATTTTCCAGGCAAGAGCACTGGAGAGGGGTGCCCACTAAAACTAGGGCTTCCCAGGTGGTACAGTGGTAAAGAATCTGCCTGTCAGTGCAAAAGACACAGGAGATGCGGGTTTGAACCCTGGGTCGGGATAATCCCCTGGAGAAGATGATCCCCTTCTTCAGTATTCTTGCCCGGGGAATCCCATGGGTGGAGAAGCCTGGTGGGCTACAGTCCATGAAGTTGCAGTGAGTGGGGCATGACAGAGCAGCTAAGCCCTCTGGCATACTAAAGCTAACACCCATTATACACAACAGTGTGTGAAGTACTATGTTAAGTGTTTGCATAATCTCATTTAATTTTTTATAGTTTTTAATCCTAGCTTATGGTTTCTTCAGAAGGACAGTTAATCCTTCAAAGACAGTAAGTCTTCTTGTTTATCAAAGGACACAGTGAAAAGGCAATCCACAGGGTGGGAGAAAAATCACATACAGGACAAGAGTTTAATACCTGGAATATATGAGGAAGTGGTCCAACTCAACAACGAGGAAACAATTTGATTATAAAACGAGCAAGAGACTTGAACAGACATTCCTCCAAAGAAGATATACGATGGGTAATAAGTACATGAAAAGATGTTGGACGTCACTGCTGAAAAGATGTGGGACATCACTGATTATTAGAGAAGTGTGACTCAAAACCCCAGAGACACCACTTCATATCCGTGAGGGTGGCTGCCATCAAAAGCAGTTCAGAAGCTAGCACAGCATTGCCAAGGATGCAGGCAAGTTAGCAACCTTTGTGCACTGTTGGTGGGAGTGTAAAATGTTGTGGCCACTGTGGAAAACAGTATGGAGCATCCTTAAAACATTACAATTAGAACTGCTGTGTGGTCTAGAGATTTTACTCCTGACTAAATGCCCAAAAAGAGTTGAAGGCATAGATTAGAAGATATATTTGTCCATCCATGTCCATAGCAGCACAGCCCATCGACGTCTTGGCAGGGCCGCTCACCTTCCTGGAGGCCCTTGATGTGCAGCCAAGGTCATTCCTGGCTGCACACTTCCAGGATGAAGCTTCCAATGATGCTTCCAAGCTCATTCCTGTTGCTCATGGAATTCAGATCATCCTGCTGTAGAACTGAGGTCCCGTGTTCCTGCAGGAGACCAGCTGAGTCTGGTCGCATCCCAGCAGGTACCCCAAGATGCCTCTTGTGCTCCCCCTGTGGCCCCCTGGAAGCAGCCAGTCATGCCCCTCTCGACCTTCAGATGTCTCCAGCTCTCCTGCCTCCAGGCAGAGGCAGTCTCCAAGGGCTCACAAAGAGAGACTGCCTACCTGGGGAGCCCAGATGACACTCCATCACCTTAATTCCCTCTGCAGAGTCTTCTTGGAATTGAGCACAACACAGCCACAGGTTCAGAAGAAACAGGGCCCGAGCGTCTTTGGGGGCCATGATTCCACTGGCCTTGTCCCCATGGACCAGAAGAGGAAAAGCCAAGGATAAGCAATGCCATCGCCCCCAGACACCCGTCACCTACTCCCGCTCAGCTGCAGGGTTGCCTGATGCCTCCTGTACCCCATTCCTCACTCTGTGTCCAGGGCCCAGGTTGTCATCATCTGGGAGCTGCAGGGCTGAGTGGAAAGAGCCAAGTTCTAGGTCTTTCTTCCTTGGAGGGCACTGACCCCTGGGGATCTTTCTTTACTTATATGTAAAATAGAATTCCAAATTTCTTTGGGTTGCAAAAACCCCTTGCACAACATTCAAAAAACTAAGATCATAGCATCCAGTCCCATAACTTCATGGCAAATAGAAGGAGAAAATGTGGAAACAGTGTCAGATTTCATTTTCTTGGGCTCCAAATCAATGCAGACAGTGAACTGCAACCAAGAAATTAAAGATGCTTGCTCCTTGGAGAAATAGCTATGACAAACCCAGACAATGTATTAAAAAGCAGAGACATCACTTTGCTGACAAAGGTCCGTCTAGTCAAAGCTGTGGCTTTTCCACTAGCCATGTATGGATGTGAGAGTTGGACCATAAAGAAAGCTGAACGCCGAAGAACTGATGCCTTACAAGTGTAATGTTGGAGAAGACTCTTGAGAGTCCCATGGACTGCAAGGAGATCAAGGCATTCAATCCTAAATCAACCCTGAATGTTCATTGGAAGGACTGATGCTGAAGCTGAAGCTCCAACACTTTGGTCACCTGATGGGAAGAGGTGATTCATTGGAAAGAATGGGGAAGATTGAG